ACGCATTAGACTCCGCGTGGAGCGCACTGGGGCTGTGTGCTTTAATATATGGCCAACACAGAACACTGTGTTTTGGTCCTATAGAAAAGTCCCAGATCAGTAGTTTAGGAGCTCAAAGTCTGTCTGGCTCGAGGAGCAGCTGCTGTGAGTGCTCACAGAGCTGTTGTGTTCAGAGCCACCCAGAAATGACACGTCTGTGGTAAACGCAGCACAAAGCCCAGTGTCTGGGCATTTCTGGGCCCACATCCCCTGTTGTGGCTGTCGGCAGAGCCAGTTTGCGTTTGCCATGCAGGGATTCATGGCCTGACACCCTGAGAGCAAAACAAAAGCATTATCTCATTATTCAGAGGTTATCAAGGGCTGCCCCAAACAAGAAATCAGTGAAATATAGATGTGGCGCTTAGGGAAATAGTTTAGTGGTAGAATTGGCAATATTAGGTCAATGGTTGGACTTGAGGGTCTTTTCCAACCTATGTGCAGATGTGATTTCCAAAAGCACCAGCCTGCTGCTGCTGCTGTCCCCATCTCCACTTGGAGCCCTCAACAGGCCAACGTGACCTTTTTAGATGACTTACATAGGAAACCTGTGCCCAATAGGCTCAGGAAAAATAAGTAACCAAGTGCTCTCCTTGCTAAAAGCATCACTGCCAGAGGAACCAGTCCTGCCTCTTGTTGTTGTTTTATTGGTGTGGCTTCAAAAGATCTTACAGGTCTCCAGAGTGTCCCCTCTCACATTGCCACGGGATCGCAGCCTGGCATCACCCCGTCTGCACGGCAGCGAGGCCAATTTAGAATTCAAGAGAGGAGCCTCCCACTCCTTTTTTAAAAGAAGAGCTGATATTAAAGGAAATTATCATAAGTAATATTTCAGTATTCAACTCTTCAAAGAAGCAAGCACTTCCCATAGGGTTGTTTCCCTTCATAGAGCAGAAGGAGAGCATCCCAAGAAGGACACAGAAGCATCTGTAAAAGGTACATAGGAAACCTGTGCCCAATAGGCTCAGGAAAAATAAGTAACCAAGTGCTCTCCTTGCTAAAAGCATCACTGCCAGAGGAACCAGTCCTGCCTCTTGTTGTTGTTTTATTGGTGTGGCTTCAAAAGATCTTACAGGTCTCCAGAGTGTCCCCTCTCACATTGCCACGGGATCGCAGCCTGGCTCCAGGAGGGATACCAGTGCTCTGCAGGCATGGAAACTGTCAGTCAGCTGCAAACTTTGGAAATTGGGGGCAGGGAGACTGAAAGAACCAGTAGGGACTCTGCTTTCATTTCTAGCAGGAAATTTAAATCAAGGAGGACTCAGGAAGCTCCAGGCTGGACTGAATCAGATCCATTTTCCCAGCTGTCTCTTGGGATAGTATTCTCCAACTCTAGGAGGTGTTTCTGCTGGGGACAGGTGCTGAGGTCCACCAGAAACTGCGGTGGACAATTCCTGGTGCTCTCCACAGCAGCCAAACCTGTACAAGTGCAGGTTTTCACTGGGGGCACTCACTGCATCGCTTGGGGCGTTTGAGTCTCAGCATTAGGCAGTTTCTGTATCGCTGCGTACAGTGTATTCCAAGAGCAGTGGTTCAGAAGCAGCTTCATCGATTTCTTCTAATTATAAATCCTATAGAAAGTTTTCAGCTTGCAACAGTCCCAGTTTTCCTCTCAGTGGAGCCAATAAAAGTTAAGAGTTGCTCCCTGGTTACTGTCATTACAACAATAAAAAGCCAGAGTAATTGAAAAGTGAATCAGGGAAACTGCCAGATTGCAGAGCAATGATAATAGAAGAAATTACCTGGGAGCCCAAGCCCAATGCAAAGTCTTGCCTCTGGCTGCACCGAGCTTGAGCCCATCCTGGACAAACTCCCGTGCTGATACGTGTCTAGCAGAGGACATGCCTCCTGCGTGCGAGTACCGGAGCGTAGAGCAAAGCAGGAGCAATGACCATATGCTGGCCAGCAGGCCACACACTCAGAACATGAGCCAACAAGGGTGATTTTGAACCCCATCTGGGATGGTTCCTCTTCCTAAAAGGAAAAATGACAATGGAACAGTAAAAAAAATAATTTCTCCCTGTATTAGCATAAAGCTTAAAAGCGAGACCTGGAGATGCAGCAACAGATGCACATTTGTTAAGCGAGCAATTATTTCCCAGTAGACAGATTAACTTGGTACAAGAGGACCCCAAAACCCGCAAGTCATTACTGTTTCCATGTTGTTAAGATTAGACAATAATCACGGTTGTGTTTGCAATCCAGGTAGCTTAAAGCAAAGCAACAGGAGCATCACAGTAGACTCTACAAAAGCTTGTCAGTGGCAATGCCGGTATAGAGGGAGACCAGCAAAGACATGTAGGAGTGAGAGGAAAGGAGCACCGTATGTGAACATAGGCAATGGTGTGTCCTGAGGTGATTTTTCACACCAGTAGCTCTGGAGGCAGACATGAAGGAGCTGAAGATCTTGTTCTTCCAACACAGTCATCTTGGCACACAGTGAGGTAGATCCTGAAGCAGTCAGTTGTCTTTTACTTTCCACGAGGACTAGATGTGTGCATCCTATCGGAGGTCACTCATCCTCAGGTACCCTACCCACGTAAAGTCTGTGATCATGACCACTAAGGAGGCTCACACATCCCTGCAGATATCCGCAAAAAAGGATGCAAGCAAAGAGCAGGTCTGAGAGACGCTGCTCTGGGCTGTGAAGCACTCGCAGGGGTGAACATCCATCTGGTGACGGGTGTCCAGTCTTGGACAGCTTCTAGAAAGACAGTTCCCCAAAGGGAGAAAAACCAAAACATAAGTTACAGCTAAAAAGTTTGTATTGGCCTCAGAGGACTGTCCCTGAGCCAAGAACAGGAAGAAAACTCCAAAACAGGTTGAACATCACAGCCTGATGAGATGGGATGGGGTAACCCCATGCAGATGGGCTGCTCCTGTTGGTATGAAGTGACCATTAGAATGGTATTATGGGTTTGGCCTATCAGTGGGCTTGGGCCTATCAGCTGGGTTTCAAGTTCAGCTTTCAGTTTCCCCCAGACGAAGGCCCCAGAGGAGTGCAGGATTGGGTGGTAGGTGAGAAGTCATTTATTTTACCTCCACGGTGCTGGTGTGCAATCAGCACTGCAGGAAGACAACCAGGAGGGCTGCAAACCCTGGGCAGCCTCAAGGCGCTCTGCAAGCCTCCACTAATGACACCTCCCGACACCGCAGCAAGGCAACTGTGTGAATTAACCCCCATTTCCACATCTCTAGTTGCCAAGAGAAACGCTTTTCGTAATCATTGCCGGTCGTGAAGTACACAGCTGCTCGGTTTTATTTGCTCTTTTAACATTAAAGAAAGCAGAACACGGGCGGTGAGATTTCTTCATGCACAACAAAGCAGGCTGGAAATTTGTGACTAAATACCAAGGGGATTTGCAATCCAGCTTTGAACTGTGCAGCAAGGAGCCGCTGGTGACAATTGTGTGCTCCCTATTTTTAGCTGGGCGGCCTGAACGCTGAATCCCTTGGAGGAACAAGGACAGCAGCAAAACACCAAACCCACCAGACTCGCTTTTCAGAGAACTCACATGGGGCAAACCCAGGAACTTTGGCTCTTGCCCCTTCTATCCATTTTTCTGCAGATTTTCTGCCACCAGGTCTTTGGTTGTTATGGGAAATAAATAAATAAACAGAATTGTAGAAATCAGTGCTTCCAAGGATAGATGGATAAGTATATATGTATGTGTGCAAATCTGCCTATACACACACAGGTACGCATAAATATTTCAGGGTCTGGACTTAGTCGAAGTGCACTTATTTTTCTTAGTTAACTACTGTGAGAATTAATGATTTTGCATCTGTGCAATGAGGTGTGCAGCAATGCTCAGGGAAGACGACCTTAGATAACACACCGAGCAGCTCAGAACTGATAAGGCTTGTCCTGGCCTTATCAGGCTGGGGGAAGGAGTGGGAATTTCTTGCTGTACCGTTTCTGAAATGCCAGCTCTGCAATCTGATCACACGCTATCGACACATTCTCAGTTGCAGAAACAGGCACAGGTTTATAGAATCACAGAATTGTTTGGTTGGAAGAGACCTCGAAAACCATCCAAGTCCAACCATTAAGGTAGAACTGCCAAGTTACCGCTAACCCATGTCCCTCAGCACCCCCCACTCAAAGATAGGCAGTTTAGAAGAGTGTGTACAAGTCCCGGTGCTCACTGTTTGCTGTAGGAAAGCCCATGTCTTGGTCTATAAGGCCTGAGAGCTCAAGGTGCAGTTCAGATGATCATCAGCTGCAGCACAAGGGGTGACTTGGGGCATTTCCATCCTTCTTTATTGACTGCTCCGATGGCTCAGAGAGACTGGTCTCACCTGGCATTGTGCAAGTCAGCCAGTGTGAATGCTCTCTCTCTTCTGTAGCATTAGCAGGTATTAATGCTACAAACTTTACACGTGTGCAAAGTTCCTCTGCTGCAAAATGTTCATTTCTACATATTCTTCAGGAATCATCTGGTTTTAATATCTGGTGTGTGTAAGAACAACATTTACGTACTGGATCGACAGCAGAAGTCAGCTAAGAGGGAAATGTTCTCTGCGCTCACCACGCAGACACAAATGGAAAGTTGGAAGGAAAAAATGGGCAGACTCAAGGTTGTGGCTCATGGCAAAGTGGAAAAGCTATCAGGGGAGAGTCTCGGGGTTTAATCTCTGTCAGAATGGCCAGGGCTGGTACCAGATTGCTGCATCTCCAGCCTGGAAGACCATCCCTGGCATAGAGCTGTGTTTCTCTGCCGCTCTACCGGCATTAAGTAAGCTGGCAAGAGCTCTAGCAACATCCATTTGCAACGTTCACACTGTTAATGTTAAATGAACCCAAAAGAGCAAAATTTGCAAAGTTATATTGAGGTGTTGAAATGAGGTTGAAAAAAAAAAAAAACACAAGCAGGGAACTGCGTCATGCCCACATGCCTCTCTTCCTCCAAGCTCTGAGCTTGTTACCAGTGGCTGAGCCTAACTCGGTCCTCTTCCCACAGTTTGACATGCAGAGGATAACACTGGAAGAGCTGAAACACATCCTCTACCACGCTTTCCGGGACCACTTAACGATGAAGGACATCGAGAACATCATTATCAATGAAGAGGAGAGTTTAAACGAAAACTCTGGCAACTGCCAAACAGAGTTTGAAGGTGAGAGAGAAATTTTCTGTGTTTCTGTACAACTGTTCTCTTTCTGCTTCATCTGTAAAACTCATTCTGATCCATGACAGGCAATGGGCAAGGATGCGTGGAATTAGCATGGAGTTGTTTTAGGGTAAGTAGCAATGACACATGTAGGGAACTCAAGAGCTGCCGTCAGCCTTCTTCCATGTGGTCTAAATAAAACTAATGCTGTTTCAGGCAAGGAGATGAACTAGTGGGTGCTTTGCCTTATGGTCCTCCTCTTTCTGGTGGGATTCAGGCAGGGGATGTACAGCCCGTGCTCAGGTGAGTGTCTGAGACAGGCTGAATTGCCCCACAGAAATATTCCTGTGTCTCTCAGTCTATCACAGAAAGGCTTTATTGGCAGTGGAGCCAGCTCCAGCAAGCTGTGTTAGGCTCCACCAGTTTTCATAGAATCATAGAATGGTTTGGGTTGGAAGCGACCATAAAGACCATTCAGTCCCACCCCCTGCCCTGGGCAGGGACACCTCCCACCAGACCAGGTTGCTCCAAGCCCCCTCCAACCTGGCCTTGAACCCCTCCAGGGAGGGGGCAGCCACAGCTGCTCTGGGCAACCTGGGCCAGGCTCTCACCACCCGCACACCAAAGAAGGTTTCCCTGAGATCTCATCTCAATCTCCCCTCTTTCAGTTTAAACCCCTTCCCCCTCGTCCTATGGCTCCCCTCCCTGATCAATATTCCCTCCCCATCTCTCTCATAGTCCCCGTTAGGGACTGGAAGGGGCTCTAAGGTCTCCCCGGAGGTTTCTCTTCTCCGGTCTGAACCCCCCAACTCTCTCAGCCTGTCCTCACAGCAGAGGGGCTCCATCCCTCAGAGCATCTTCATGGCCCTCCTCTGGACTTCTACTGACATTCCATAAGCATAAAAGGTCTTCTGCTCTGGGCTCCCAGGCAACAACTGAGGAGGAGTCCTCTCTCTGTGTTGTAACACCAGCAATGAGCAGAAATGGGGCACCTGCACCCTGCTGCCCTGCACACCCCTTGTTTGACGCCATCGGGACCACTGGTGTGGAGCTGAAATATGCTACACTGGTACACCACAGGACAGCTCATCTCCACATATGGGAGAGTGGCTGCAAGACCAAGGTCTAAGCAGTCCTTAGAGGTAGCTAGAGAAAGAGAAACACTTGCTTGGGCATCTGTTATTTAACACAGCGTCCTCTCAGCAGTTCTACAAGACCATTGAGCAACTGGGATTAGACACAACCTCGAGTTTTACAGGGGATTTTGCACTTTGAATGGAGCTAACACTGGCAAGAACATTCTCCTTTTGCCAAGATGGGCAATTAATTTAGGAGAGCTTTTTAAGCCACTTAGAGAGAAGGATTTTCTTGACCAGAGGAACTTGTTCTGCTCCCAAGCATTGCTGGTTGGAACAACTAAACAGACACAAATAGTCTTAATGTAGAAAAGTCCGGGGAGATACCTACAGAGAACCTCAGGGTTTGTGCACATCACCCTGGGACAGCTGTTGTGCTTTTCCAGCCATAACAATACCGCTTTATATAGCACATTTGAGGGGAAATTCTGATGCGCTGAGGGGTCAAATAACCTCTGAAAGAGCACCAGGCAGAGACATCAAAGTGTCTTTAAAACAAAGCAAAGGATAAAAATATTAGTACAATTCTTAGCCTGGCTAATTAATGGGATTCAGAAGCTATATCCAGCACACTCACCCTCTGCTAAATACTGCAGAAAAGATGTAGAAGAGCACAGCTGAATTTTAAAAAGCCTGCAGGAGGGAGGCAAGCAGCAGCACTCTCCGAATCAAGCCAAGCAGCAATTTTTTTGTTCCTCCTGGAGAGCGGCAGGGAGGAAGAGATGCTTGCTTACATGAATGGAGTTGTTAGTCCCCACTGACCTGCTGATTCAGTGGAGACATTTGCCAGCTGTCACCACAGTGAGAGGCATCCAGGCTTCTTTCAGCTCCAGTACTTGGGTGAACTATCCCAGTTGCAAAAAAAAAAAAAAAAAAAGGGTCCGAAAACCTAAATGCTCAGCATCTCATTTTGGAAGTCCCAGCTTTCAAAAGTACAGCAAGAACAGCTTTTCTCGTGGGATGTTGGCATTGCTGGTGCTAGGCAGAACCTAGAAGGAAAACAGACCCTTTTTTAGATGTTGTTAGAAATACACACACACGCACAAATCCACCGGAGAATAAAGATCAACTGAACACTGTCAACAAAGATGCAAACTTTTGCTTCAAGTCCCAGAAGAAAGGGACGGTTCTAGTCCATGGCAGCTCTGACGTGAGATTTTCTTCCAGGATGGACAGGCTGAGAGCAGGTGTGTCCCTGCAGCTCTCCAGGCTGGACATGCCATTACCTGAATGACTCACTGGTGCCCTTGGCATTCCTGCTTCCCAAACACTAAGATCCCTAAAGGGCTCAAAAGCAGAAATGATGGGGCCTCATGACAGGTATCAGTGGCACTGAGGGAGAGCTGTCATGAAGGCTGGACAGCATCTCAGTCTGGCTTTAAATGGTGCTGTACAGAAGTGTCTTCATGTAAGTAAACCACCCTTTATTCATTTCTTATTTAGTGGAATGAAGGAGATGCTTTGGGGATATAATTCCTTGAGCATATTTTAGGTGCTGTCTTGGGATGAGGTGAATTGCACCTTAAAAAGCACCTATTTCTTTGAACTGTAAGAGTAGCCTAAAGGGACTAGCTTAGAGGCTCACATGTATATTTAATGTACATTCCATCATCCCATTGAAGTGTCTTTAATTGTGGGTAGGAATGAAGCCAAGATGAGCCCAAATGGTTTTCAATGAGGTCTGGGAATGGCTCCTAAGGGAAGAAATGTAGCAGATACTTTCAGTTCTCACCATCAAAGAGAAGCCCCAAAACCTTTCTCCATCCCGTGGGCAAAGACATCCCCTTCTCCACATCTGGGGTTAGCTGGCTCAGCCCCACCAGCTGCTAAACAGGACACATCACCATCAATATGAATATGTACAAATTTCTGTCATTCTCACAATTCTGCTGTCTTGGCTTCTTGTCATAATAAGGTCTTCACAACTATGTAATATTCTTCCTATATAAACATGGACAATATACTTTATCTCTCTCTCCCACACTCACACACACACACAGCCACACGCGCACTTTAAACCAAATACAATGATCATATTATGGTCAGGGACAAGTCCGAGATTTTGTTCAGTTCTCTCTGAACAAGAGAGTCGTTTGCGAGATGCCAGACCTAGGCTTACATTACAACTTTCCCTCCTACGCATTTCTAGGGCTTTTCATTTGCCTTGTTCTTGATGAAGAGCAAAGCAATGAAAATGCCCAGCTCCTCAGTACGAGCAGCCCACACCAGCCCCGCCAATACAGAACACAGCCAGAAGGGAGGCACAGTTATGTCTTCTGCCTTTCTCTCAATTTATATTAATGCTTCGGGCAGGAGAACAAAGTTGAGAGCCAAGGAGAGTGTATGTTTTATGAGAAAAGACACAGGAGAAGGACAACTGTTTGCAGCGACATTGTACTACTAAAAATGTATAGTTTTATGAGAAAAGACACAGGAGAAGGACAACTGTTTGCAGCAACATTGCACTACAAAAAATAATCCATCTGGCAGTTCCCTTTATCCAAATACTCACGACATTAAGCTCGTGGCAAACAAGAGTGCCCTCTGGTTACGGTGACCCATGCTGTCTGCCCCAGGTGTTTCATCCTCGGCCCTGACACTCAAATTAACTGGATGTACAAGAGCTGCCACAGCTTCTCTCCGTGCTCCCACCAGACAAGCACTTGGAGCATCTGCTCCTCAGCTGAGGGCTTGGGAATTAAAAACTGACCTCCTGAAACAAAAATAACTCCAGCCAGCCAGAGAAAGCAAATATCACTCACCTTTAGTGGGGTTATGACAGAAGCCACTATAAATACACTCTAGCTGCTCGTGTTAGCAAGCCTTTTTCTGCAGGTGAGAATGCTCTCAGCACTTACCCTGAGCATCTCAAACCCACCATGGGCATTGTCACCAGCCCAGAAGCCACAGCCACTGGACCGATGCACCCTGAAATGGGCTGGACCCATTAACCTCATGTCCTGGTGGAGAAGTTCTAGCAATGGTAGCTCTGTCTTTGCCACTTACCTTGGTAAGTCCTCACCAGCACGTTCTCTGCACATTGAGAAGATGAAGGAGGACCTGGCCTTGATTTGCCTTTTCTTCTTGAGATCTCATTTACATTGGACATCCTTGTGAGTTGCTCTTCCTCATATGGGGTCAGAGTATCTCCAGAGGAGCTTCAAGCTCTGACTGTGTTCAGGGAACCAGCTCAAGTCCAAGCCCCGGCATGTCCAATGGGTATTAAAAACTCTTACGGGCAACAGATGCAAAACAGATCAAGCATCTGGCCCCTACAACCACCTAAACATACTAGCTATGGAAACCAGAAGGAAAAAGCACAGCTGCCATGCTCACAAGATCTATGAATTTGGAGAACAGAGAGAAGTGAGGGCAAAAACTCACCAGTTAGCTGGGGGGAGGGCAAATGGGTCTTTATAGTTACAAAGGCAATTCACAGGGCAGGATGTAGTTGTGTTCACAGTGAAGAGAGTAATTTCAGCTTCTTTGTCTCCCTGTGGCTTGCAAGGGGGCAGAGGAACTGTAATACTCATCTTGCTGGAGTAATTCCTGCTGAGCCCCAACCAACTGCAAGAGGCTCTCTCTCGGTCTGCAACCTCTACATTTCAGCACAGACATTTCCCCTTTTTTCTTGAGTTATTTGGTAGGTTATTTGGCTATTTGGTGTACCTTCAGTCGATAAAGAACAATAACAGTGACTTAGCTGGATCCTGCTGCCTTAAAGCTCTATTTTTACTTGATGGTACAACAGAAGACCGGAGGAATTGTTCAATTTAGGAACACTTCTGCAAGAAACCCTGAACATGCTCTACTCTTTTCCTTTGAATAGCAGAGTTGCCATCACAAAAAGCCTTGGCCAGTCTTCGACTGCTGCTCCCAGTCACCATAATCAGCACTGGAGCCCCACACCGAACGGCAATGCCGACTGTGAAGGCTTGTGTCACTGTTTTGTCTGCTGGCCGGGAGTGTTTTCAAAGTACAGAAATAATAGAAAAATAAATAAAGAAGTAACTAAAGCTGTGATTTAACAAGATTTCGGAGTGCTGGAGCATGATGCACAAACCCAAGGAACCACAGTATTGATTCTGTGTGCATTATAAAAGCGAGCAAAGGAATCAAGGAGCAGAGCAGTGCCAGCAGAAAGCAAGTAATTTAGGAGAGCTGCTGTAAGGGGGATTTCATTATCTGCACAGAAAATAGCGAGTTCCCTGCAGCACTGGTGGGGCAGTGATTCCCTGCCCTGGGCAGAGGGACTCAAAATGCTGTCTAACGAGGGCTTCTGGTGCCTTGGGCGCTGCCTGGTGCTGGGGGACCACCGGGGATCTGGGCTTAGGACACCAGCATCGTTAAATCCTGGCCAGAGGAAGTGAAGTGGGATGAAGAAAGTGTTCAAAATGCAGCATCCACCTCTCTGTGCAATGATAAGAACAAGGGGATTTTTTTCCATATATTCTAAAAACATCTTCCTGGACTTTTCCAAATGCGGGCACTCGGAGCATTTTCCTGTTGGCATTTTCAAGGAATCATAGAAACATAGAATGGTTAGAGTTGGAAGGGACCTTAAAGATCATCAAGTTCCAACCCCCCTGCCCTGGGCAGGGACACCTCCCACCACACCAGGTTGCTCCAAGCCCCCTCCAACCTGGCCTTGAACCCCTCCAGGGATGGGGCAGCCACAGCTTCTCTGGGAAACCTGTTCCAGTGTCTCACCATCCTCACAGTAAAGAATTTCTTTCTAGTATCTAATCTAAATCTCCCCTCTTTCAATTTAAAACCATTACCCCTCATCCTGTCACTACACTCCCTGACAAAGAGTGCCTCTGCAGCTCTCCTGTAGCTCCCTTCAGGTACTGGAAGGGGTTTTTTTAGATTTATTATAATTCTGAGCTTGTTGTCCACCAGCTGAATGTCTCCCATCATCACAAGTGTGACCATCCAGGAGAAAAAGACGATGGATACATCCCTTCTCAGGTCAAATCAAGACCATGTGTTACTGCCCATAGTAGCAGGGAGAAATTACCCATCCCGTGCGTGAGGATCTTCGGGCTTTCTGTGATTATCTCGGGGGACCTTCAGAGCCTTTTCAAACTGATTAATCTACACAGTAACCCAATACCACATATTGTTCTGGTATTCATATGTAGGGAGGTTAAGACAGAGACATGAACTGTCTTTAGCAAGTCACAGCACGAATCCTCACTGATGAACTTAAAAGAAATTTAAAATTAAATAAAATAAGTCAAACACTAAAAATCCCAACTCTGTCTGCATTTTAACTGCCACAAAATATTTGTGCCTCTTTTGACGGTTATTCTGCAAGCATCCATTGAAAAGGCTCTTAATAAGTCTGATTTTTGCATAGGCACAGAAAACGAGCTTGGAAAAATGACTAACGTACTGTGCATACTCATGGGAAGTATCACAGTGGGTTTTTTAAATGCTGTCAGGGGGCACAAGTTGAATCTCTGCTCGTTTCCAGTTGACCTGTAACTGGAAAAACCTGGATGAGTCTAAAGCAATTCACAGAAGACCAATATTCCTGATTAAAGAACTTTAGAGAGAACTTCATAAAGAGCTTAAGAGAAATACACAGGTAAACTAAGGCATTTGAAGGGTTTAAAAGCCAAGATGGCAGAGAATGGACTTCCTGCAGTATGAGAAGGTGGTCTGTCAGGAAGGGGTGTTTGGAAGCAGTGAAAGGTAAGGTGGAAATGTCCCAGCAGGGAGAGGTAAGACTTGGCCAGTGCAGGGGATCTCTGAGGGGTGGAACACCCTGGAGGTGTTCAAAAGACGGGTTGATGTAGTGCTGGGAGGTATGGTTTAGTGATGATGCTCCTTGTTTGTTGTGTGGGTGTCTATTTTTGTCAGTGAGGTTGATGGTTGGACAAGATGATCTTTAAGGTCCCTTCCAACCTAGAAGATTCTGTGATTCTGTGATTCTGTGACTAGAGGGTTGGAGGCAAAGGAGGCTTTCTGAGCTCAGTTTATCCTGGTGGAAAGCCAACACATGACTTTGTCCCAGCCCCTCATCTTTCCTATCTCTCCCCTGCAGTGCACGCCCAGAAGCAGAACAGACAGACCTGCGTACGGAAGAGCCTTATCTGCGCATTTGCCATGGCCTTTATTATAAGCGTGATGTTGATCGCGGCCAACCAGATCCTGCGGAGCGGCATGGAGTAGCCTCTCGCCACGACACTGTGAACCCAACTGACCATGCATGCGCATGCCACCGGGTGAGCTTCCCCCGAAACCGACTCTCACACGGCAAAGAGACAGAGGCAGGCAGATAAAGCACCATTCGACAAGGAGCCTGAGGCCAGCAGCGTAATGTGTCTTTGTGAATCAACCACATCCTTTTGGCAGGGACATAAAAGGGCTGTCTTAATGCTTTAAAGGTTTTGTTTCCTAATGCAATAAAAAAAAAAAAATATATATATAATATACAGGACTCCCGAATTATTGCTTCGAAACAGCAATGGTAACTTGGAAGAAACTTTCATCCAGCAGCCTGTTCTGCGGTTTTAAGGAGGCACGGCCTCGTGACTTACTGCAGCGGGGCTGTCTTTTAACCTAGGGCCCGACTGACTATTCCACGTAGCTCTCCACGGGCCCACATTCCCAGGAAGTTGATCGTAGCATTGTCACAAGCAAGTCCTTGTTCTTCGTTTTATTCCACGTACTCCGGCTTCACTTTGTTTTTCCCTTATGACCATGCCTTTGAGTTTACGGCATTAGAGGGGAGCTAGAGCATCCTTGTACAGTATTTTCAGAGTAAAAAAAGAGGAGAAATTGCCAGCATCATACAAAGTTTCTATTTTTGCTTCGTAAACGCCGCCTTTGACACAAGACTGTGGGGTAGCACGAGTCCATCTGCCATTTTTTTTTTTCTGACCGTGAATCAGGGCTTGAGAAGCACCACCCGTTTCCACACATGGGCATTCCTGAGATTTGTGCACAGTCTTCCAACCGACTCTGCAACCACCAGCGCCGGATAGGACTCCCTCTGTTTGGTCCCATCAGCATATTCAACAGCATTTGCTTTCCAGCAGTTTTGCTCTTCTTCTATATTGGTCTTCAGTAACCTTATCTGAGACGAAAATCATGAGGAAAAGCTCAGAAAGAGCTTTCCTCCCCTCTCCTTGCCTGCCCAATTTTTATATATTTCATCTCATATGCCCTGGTTGTAATGTGCAGTGAAACCTCTGTGTCAGATGCCTCCTCATGGGAGAGGTTATGTTTTTGCCCACGCAGAAGTGTGTGGGTTTGACCAGCCAGCTGCTCCAGTCTCTCCCAGGAGCCATCCCACCACCACCACCGTCCCATGGGCAGGCTCCAAAGAGGGTAAGCTGAAAAGAAGACTGCAGCAAGAGAAGAAGGAATCAAACTAGAGCAGACCGCCATATGTTACGTAGTGTGTCAGACTTTCAGATCCTGCAAGTGTTAGTTATTTTTCCTGGAAGAGATCTTAATGAGCAGCAAGGAGAAGATGGAGTGATGCAGACTAGAGACACAACACGTCCCGCAGAAAGCACAAGGACTGGGTGAGCCTGGAGCCAGGATTACATCTGAAAGCATTTTTCCTTTTAAACTTGACATTAATCCTTGCATTTACCCTCAGATGAATTGTGCACCTGTGTGTTGTCCCGGGAGAGAGCTGGTTTCCTTGCCCTCATGGGAGAGGTTTCCCAGCTGGTGCTTATGGAGACAGCAGAGGGAATGCTCCCGGGGAGGGCCAAGGAGGCATCCGGGCACTGGAATTGTGGTGGCTTCATCCTGCCAGCCAGGCTAGCTCCAGAAACACCAAGGAACAGTGAGATCTTGCTCCTGTAAATGTAGATGACTGTTTTCTGTGTCACCAGAGGGGTCAGGATGGCTCCCCAAGGGACTGCAAACCACGAGCTTCCCTTGTCCCACACAGCAGCCATCGGCTTATGCCTGGATCCATCCCAAAGACTCATTTCAGGTCTTTCTTTGATTACAAGTTTAACCAGTAACATTTAACCTGTATTTTCTAGTAGCCAGATCTGAAAATGTGCTTCTTGTTGTTCCGTCTCCCATCACCCCTTTAAACTCATGTCACCACTTTGGATTTTGCCTTTAGGTGTGTGTCTGTCGCCCACCTCCACATCGTTGCCATTCTCCTGGTGCCCCCCTCCATCCCCGACGAGGACAGCTGTCTTTACAGAGCAGCTGAGTTGCTGTTTTCTGCCTTTCACAAACACACACCTTTGTGTTTCTGTTCTGCTGTGACTAATGGAGGTCAACTGCCAAATATTCCGCAGAAATTGTTGCATCTCCCAGAAGATGGAGAGAATTATGTTTGCCGTAGGGCAGCAGCAGACTTCGAACCAACAGTGGAAAATCTTAGGCAAGCTCTGAGCGGGGGATCTGCACCGCTGGGGAGCCGAGGCACGCTCCCAGCGCCCGCTGGACATCGCCGATAATGAGCTTTGAGATCATTTTAAGGGAACTGACATCCACATTTTTAGGTCTCAGGGGCATGTGAAAAGGTGGCAGCAGCAGAAGAAAAAAAAAAAAAAAAAAAGTCTAAATGTTACTTGCCACCCAGTAATACTTACTAAGATATTTTTTTTCGCCCCGGGACTGTGCTGGCGTGACCGTGGGCAGCGGGGGCAGATGGAGATGGAGCAGAGAGGTGGGCACCAACCCACCAGCCCCACTCAGCGACGGCAGAAACACGGGGCAGAGCGGTGCCTCTTCGCTGAGCCCAGAAACACACGCTAAAACCCATAGACCAGGCATTTCTCCATGTTCTTCTCACTCACCTGACAGCTGATACCGGGCAGAGTCCGACTGTAACAGCTACCTTACAGACGAGATGATCTTTTGTGTTCCTTTAAGCTTTCTGGAAGGCTCCATAACTTCTACATGCATGCTTCATAAAAGCCTTTGTAAATACTGTCATTTTTAGTATAATTCTTCACCTTGAAGCTCCATTTGTAAAACCAAACTATAATTATTATATCGGTAAAAGCCATAGCCCGGTGTCAGTAGAGTTCATTGAAAACTCCCCACTGATTTTACTGGGTACAGGATTTGAGGGGTTTTTGGGGTTGCTTTTTCTGTAGGGAACCCAATTTATCCATTATGAATCAGTGTCATGTCTTGCCAGAGGTCTCCTTTCCCTTCCTGGAACAGCCTTTCTCCATCTAAAGGCATCTTGAAGAGATCCCTGCTTTAATCAGTCGGGCTCCTCTGGTGGCAATGCAGAATGGATCAGGCCAAGCCATTTCATCCTTTCCTCCCCCGACAACCTTTCTACCAACACCTTCCCATCCTTCCTAGCCAGCAGCACTGGACCTGTGCCTCTTACCTACCTCCCTGGCTCCATTTATGTAACATCCATTTATCTTCTTTTTTTTTTTCTTTTTTTTTTTCTTCTACACAAGAAGGAAAAAAAAATGGGGGCTTTTTGTTGCTTTTACAGACAGTAGGTAAAAATAGAGCAGTAAAATTTTGATTGGAACCTGATGGCAAAAGCTTAGGGGGAAGAAAGTAGAAGAATCAAAGAAATAAAAATAAAAAACCCCACATCCCATACTTCAAGAAAAAAAAAACTTTAAGTGCTAATTAACATACTTTAAAAAATACCCAGACTGCAGCAGTGCTAGGTAGAGCTGTCAGAAAAAGCACTAAACTTATGCTCTTGCCAGTTACATGAGAATTTAAGTGTCTTTTCAGCACTGCAATTCTGTACGAAAAGGATATTGCTATGGCAACCCTCGCTGTTCGTGACATGTGTGCCACCGTGCCGGAGCCACACGCAGCAACTGCAGACGCACGCCCAGCCCAACCAGGGATGGACAAAGAGCTCCCAACAGCCCGGGACAGCATTTCAGCTCATGAATTAGCAAATTATGAGCAAATTGGGAGCACCCCAAAGGCAACTCTCTTGGCTTAGCCACAAAAATAATGTGTGCAATTAAACAGATTGACACGCAGGGAAGGCTTTGAGATGGACATGGTTATTTTAGCTTGAGAGAGGTTTTGGTTTTGGGAGCAAGTGAAATCAATGCAGCATAAGCACTGCTCAACATAGGTTATCCAGGGCTTGTTGAGGACACTTTAAGCAGGTTCTGCATGGAGGGATTGTTCTCTGATGAGAAGGATTTGAGTTACTGCTCCTGCAAGGCAGTGGGCTGCGTCACTGATGACACTGACTTTGACTTTAACCATTGGCTTTAACTTTGAAGGCACATCCTGATTCTCTGCTCCTGGAGAAGCCAAGGAGTGATCAGCACGTGGCACACTGAAATACTTTGGAGGCCACGGAGAAGTGAATTCCAGCAAAAGCTGCTTGCTGGAGGACCATTGCTTACCTGTCAGGTCGAAAGCCATACCATAAAGTCAGCCATGAAGAAAACCACAGCTGAGGAGTTACCAGGGAGGACAACTGTCTCATGGTGGTGACGGTGGCCCTGGAGAGCAGACTCCTGCCCACGACAGGCTGTGCCACTCAAGGACTACGTTGGGGCCTGATCCTCTCAATGAGTCCACCACTCAGAAGTAATTTCTGATCAGAAGCAATATCAACTGTAATTTAAAGAATTAAACAGGGTGGGCAGCTGGGAAAACTTGGCTTTGTTAAGAAGAAATTGGTCCTCATGCTGTTAGAGTTCATACAGGAAAAAAGAGAGTTGACAAAGAAAAAGTAATTTTTTTTCATGTTTGATGGGCACCCACAAATATGCCAGTTACTGTTAGCAGACACCCTGTCCTGGTGAAGGTGCTCACAGACCCCCCCCAGGACAAGGGTCGCCTATGAGCAGAAAGGTGGGAGGTGGTAGGAGACACAGCTCCTTGCCCCTGCTCCCAGGTGAGCTACAGCTGAGCATTTGGGTATCATCTGGTGATTTGGAGAGGTTTTATAGACTGGGCAGTGGTTATTGGGAGCACAGATGTTAGATGTGGTGCACTGGTAGGGCTGTATGTTGGTTGCTTTATGTGGGAGACTCCCAGCAACTTTGTAAGGTGGGGTAAATGGGCTTTTTTTTGGTCCTTCCACCATAAGATAGGATAGCAAGCAAGCAGATGAAAACGAGGTAGAAAGCATTCCCAAGAATGCTACTCTGGATGGCTGACAGACTTGGATAAGCAAAGTACCTACTGGCAAGCTTTTTTTTTTTTTCCATGAAAAGCATAGGAATATCCTTTCACAAAAAAAAACCCCATGCTGCATCTTTCGGCCCACTGCAGAAGACCAAAACATCTCCTGGGACACCCATAGGACCGTGATGGCTGTCGGAGGCCCAGTGCTGGCTCTGCTGGAGGTGACACGCTGCTTTGCGAGGTGTCTGGTACAAAGAGACTCAGCTTTTCTCCACGAAAGCCCCTCTCCCCCCAGGCCGTGCGCGGAGCCGGCAGAGCTGCGAAGGGCTGTCACCCACAATAGCGAGAGGTGCACGGTCCCCAGTCAGACGTGGATCTGTGAGGAGAGGAGCAGTAGGAGGAATACATTAAGATCACTAAGAATGAAGTTCCCTATTTTATCCACCCGTGTAATAAATTATTTAGTTTCTGCTTTATGGATGACTATTTGAAAGAAGAAAAACCAACTCTTCTAAAATGAGAATCTGATGAAGTATCTTTTTTCTTGGCTCTGAATCATGCTTACATTCCACAGATGAAGATGTACAGAACTTGCTGGTTTTCAATCTATTATTTTACTGTACTGCGTTCTGACAGTGCAATTACATTTCCCTGGCATCACTTAAAGCCTTTTACTTTCCTAGGAATTTAAAACAGAAAAAGAAAAGGCTCACAACATTTTCATCTCTATATATTGGCAGTTGTTACCAGGACTGGATCTTGTTGATCTCCAGTTCAGGTAGGACATTTTAGGCAGCTCTAGGAACTGTAGAAGCATCACCAGACGTGAGATGGACAGAAAATCTGACAATATTTTAATTGGAAGAGTATTCCACTCCTACCTCTCCAGTGGCAAAAGTCTAAAAAACTGCCTCAATTTGGCATCTTCAGTAGGAAAGAATTTCAGCCCCAGAAGTGAGGAGAAGAGGGAGGAAAGAGAAAAAGGAAATCCTCTGGATCTAAAGATTGGTACTTGACAATTTGATGATGAGTATACCATAGGATTTTTTTATTTTCTGTCAAGACAGACCAAAATACTTTGTAGCCTTGAAGAGCATTACTCAATGAAGTTGCCATTTTCCGACCAATTATTTTCTACAGCTGTTCACAGCCAGTCTTTGCCAGCATCAAGAATAAGCAGCTTCAAACACTGCTATTTTTACAAAGCTTTAGGTGAGATCCATTATATGACCTTCCTTTATCAGCTGGTGTTCTGTCATCATCAGCCAACGAGTAGACATTTGACCATCCCATGTGAAGCTGTTGAGCTTGCTCCCATAGGTCCCCCTCTGGTCTTGCCAGCTCTCAGGCATGTCCTGTCTCTCTTGTGAGCCATCCCACCCAACCCAAACCATACAGCCGATGTGTTTGCAGTGTCAGGCCCCTTGGGGTTGCCATTTGACAGTCATCTTCAAATAAATGCCTCTATATTCCTGTTGCACCAACCCCAAAATTGTATATTACATTTCTTACCGCCTCTTTCAGAGGAGCCAAAGTTATTTCAGCTTCATGCAGCAGCTCTTTTTTTTCTCAAATTTTTAATTGGGGTGGGGGGTGGAAGAGAGAAGAAGTTCCTCTCGGACTCCAGGGTAAATCAGAAGTAACTCATTAGAGTTAATTGGCTTAAACTAGAATAAGCCCAGAATCCAGCCTGTTGCCATTTAATCCATACTAGGATCTAAGTAATCAATGCCTCCTGATTCATCTCTAGGAAGTCTAATACATGCACATCCTTTTTTCCCCTCATTTCATCCCTCACTGTTGTCAAGTCATTTACCATTCATTGTTAAAAACTGACCATTTTGTGCTCGTTAACAAAAGACATGGCATTTTAATTAAAGACAACAACTCACAAAGTCAGCAGCATAATGGTAAAAACAAATACAAAAAACTTTGTACAAAATATTGTAAATATTAATATAAATTAACTTGGCATGCAGCTTAAATCCTATGTTATTGCAAGTTACCCAAGTGTATAAAGACGTGTATAAAGGAAAACCGAATGCCATATGTATCGGCTGTTTCCTCTAACCAAACACTACTGTAAATATATAATCTGTATAAAAAGATTTTAATTTTACCATTATTTATGCAATAGAAATAAAGGTTTTTTTCTTTTGATGAGGGATGAAGTTTCTTTTTTCCTCATTTTGAAGCAGTCATTGATATTTATTCATGCCCAAGTACAAGAGTAAAAGCGAGATTTGCATAAAATATTAGGACAGGGACCCTTTCTTCCTTCTGAGGGATACATGAACACTGGGGTTTTTTATTTTGCTTTGAAAATAGATTTACATATTTTAAAGCCTGCTACTACAGAAAGAGCTCCTGGCTGAATAGATGCCTTGGCAGTTCAGAGCTGGGATCAACGCTTTGAGAGGGACACAGATGCACAGGACTCATCAGCGTGCCAAAGCGAGGAATTGAACTTCTCCTCTGGAAGTGGAAGTCAAAGCCACAACTGGTGTGGTTGGTGGGCACCACACACAGATCTCAAAGAAAAAGGTCAGACCGTGCCATGTGCTCTTTTATGGCACTTGCTTAAAAACTCAAAACCCCTTTTCTTATACCTACCAGAGAGTCAGGGCCTGTTTCCTCAGATGGGCTTGGGTCCAGTGCGTTGCTGCTTGGAAGAGGTTGTTGACCACGGGTTTTAATCCTGTCTCTTCTACTGCCAAGACTCCATACCACAGAGAGCTGCTTTGTGAGGCTGAACTACACTCACATGTCCTGAAGAGCAGCTGCTCCCTTAGCAAATCCAGACCTCTTCATTTCCCTGTAGACCGTTCTCCGCAGCTACCAGTCCACCATGTCCTGCTAGCCATTTGGCTGAAAAAGATGAGGATGAGGTTAATGGTTGTTCCCTAAAATTGCTTGTAGTGATGCCTAAATTAAAGCTTAAAAAGATAGAGCTGATGTAGGCAAGTCGTCTTTACCCAGGGGCATCCAAGTAACAATGGTAGGACTTCTGGGACAACCAGTGCAACCCCCAAAGTTCCCACCATGCCCATAGGTAGAGTACCACCTCTGTCCTGTGCTTGGAAAGAAGCTGTAACACCTTCCCTAGACCTGACCGTTTTTGCAAAAATAGCATTTCTGATTCCTTCATTTAAACTCTGAAAAAAATTAGTGGTTTTCCCCAGACAATGATATCTATCACACTCCATTTCATGGGCTCACATTATTTATTAATTGTGACCATTTGGACAACCGCCTGGCGGCTCGGATACTGTTCCTTATTCCTGGAACCATCACAACTTCCAGTATGAGCAATTGTCTATGCATGGATTACCACTGAAAAGCAAGTGATGCAGAAAACTTATGTTTACAAAAAAATGTGATCTAATAGTTTAAAAAAGGTACTGTACACTCTAGTTCACCTCTTACGTTATGTAACTGGAGAGCGTTTTAATGAATGGCTTAGGAAAGAACATGAACTCATTACAGGAATGATTCACATGTATTGTAGGAATTCCTATATATTTATATTTATTGTAGGAATGAATGAGTAATTGAAGAAATTCTCCGCTGGAAGGAGAAACCTACACCACACAGACCTCCTTTGAAAGCAGTGTTCTCATGGAGATCATTGTATTCAATGTCCTCAATGAAACCACTTTGTACGTTGAACCATTCAGAAATTGAAATCCACTGATGTCATTGCTAGAACACAGTCTCTGTGCCCATCAACCCCCAGCAAGGATGAGCACCACGCTGGACAGTTTAGTGTGATACCATTGGAAACCTTCACTGACTGCAGGGAGAAAACAAACTTTAAAAGACAAAAACACACCACATTTGGACGGAGACCAAACCACTTTATCCCACCATAAAGAGCCCACAAGCATGACCAGTGTTCCAGCTCTACCAAAGCCTGTTTAGCTCTCGTGTTATGTTAATGCTCTCCATTCCACAGGGAAATACTGGTGGAGGATTCTACCAAAAAGCCCCAAAAGCTGTGCCCCAACAGAGGTTTTCGGGTGCCTGCTGCCACGGGAGCAGGGACTGGCAATGGGCAGGAACAACCACACGAGTCTAATCCAGCTCCCGGGGAGTCAGTGGAAACATTCCCAGACTTAGTGGGATTTGGATTAGGTCATCATACAGCACAGTATTTCACACCCTGGCCCTTCGCTTTGTTTAAATGGAGTCTGGCCAAGGCCTCAAATTTAATTACTGAAATACAAATAGTGAAGAAATAAGGCTTTCCTCACTCTGAATGAAATTTAGGCAGGGCCCCATCTAAAACCTCTTGCCATCAGTGGGTTCCCCGAGCTCAAATCTCCCAGCAGAGTGTGTCTTTGGGTAGATGCAATGCTTTCCTCCAGGTAGGCACACTCTGCCCATGACCCTGCAGGCTGGCTTTGCTGCTGCCATCTCACCCACCCAATACCCACTCCTTCTTGATTAACATCTATAGAAAGTATTTGATAATGCACATCCAGAGGCTGTAATTTATTTGGTACAAGCAAGTTAATCCTGGCAAGGCTTTCCCGTGTAAGTATAGACTAATATCATCTTGTTTTAATTGCTTCTTTAAGAGTTTCTCAAAAAATCAAAAACATTTTAATTAAAAAATTCACCAAGAGTATCTTCCAGATCTTTTCCCATTTATTCTTCTTCCCACCAAAATTATCAGCACATTTGTTAAGTTCTAAAGAAAGTAATTACAGCAGATGTTGATCGCTGCTGCTACACATCAGTCTCCCAACTTGTACTTGTTTGCAACTTTTTGAAACAGAAATTTCCATTCTTGGTCTCTGCTCAGGATGGAGGCTCTCAGTTATCAGCTGGAATGCTTTTGTGCCAGCTGCTAAGGTTAGGGAAAATTCTTGGGGTGAAAAGGGGGAAGAAAGAAGGAGATACAATTAAGGAACTGCTAAGGATACATAGTTTTGGGCAAGGACCAGCAAGAAATGGTGGAAAGCCCTTTAATTTTACCTGTTATACTATTTGTAATGAATAAAGGTCCTGCTCCACCACCACCTCAAATGACGAGATGATAAATCCACTAGAAGTGCCACCAGCACACTCCCTGTTACAACAGTGTGGAAGCATCACACTGAAGAGGCCAAGTGCACGCCTGCCATGCTGTAATAAATGTCTTTTAACCCCAATTTCTGTCTAGATTTCCACTTGCCCATAATGAGCTGGCTTTAGAATAAGCTGTCAAAAATAGTTCACTATATAATGACAGAAAGCTGAGATAATCACAGGACGACCATACATGTCACTACAGACAGAAATTCAATGAAACAGGGTCAGGAACCTGTAGCATGATGCTGGTGGCACTGCCAAGCAAATTTTCAGTGTCCTGTGACTGCTCAGAGACAGAGATACAAAACTATTCGAGGAGCAGGGTTTCCCACCTCTGATTTGGTCAAGAAAAATATCATCCAGCAGTGCTCCCTTAAATGTTTGCTGACGGTGGAGTACCTCTAGGTCTGAGCTAAAATTACAACCACAGACAACTAGAGAAAACTCTGGAAGAGGACCATCTGAAGTTGTTCAAAAGCTCCATCTCTTTTTTCTCTACATCACAAGTTAGTCACACACAAAATTCTCTGCCTTCAGCCCATCAGTTTTCAGCCTCTGTCCTTCTGAAGCCACCAAGTCAGATCTGCTGGAAAGGTCCTGCCCAACTGGAGGTGCCAGAGAAATCCCCTGTAGGCACATGGACAGGCTGGTTTCGAGACGTTCATCTCATCTTAGAGAGCAGAAGACGTTTCCTGCAACCCTGAATTTCACACACACAAATCCTAGGTCAAAACCACAACTGCTGCAATTGTGGGTCTCTCGTGCAGGCAGGGTCACCTACCTGCAGTGAGTGGTGAGGCCAGCAGAGCTTGGCCAGCATCTCGACTCCCAGTACAGCTGTGGGGACAAAGCAGGGCTCTCAGAGACATCTCAGTCCCAAGGAGATCATGCCCGTGAGCGTGGCTGCTACTGAGCCATTTCAAGCTTCAGCAAGTCCCAACCTGCAAAGCGTTTTACAGAAAACATTAAAACCTCCTGAAGTGAAGGATTTCAAATGGAGGGGCTGAGAGACCCCAGCGATGGAGGTACGAACAGTGCCGCTATAATAAGGGTAATCACTGCATGTTACACAGAAAAGCCTCTCAAGTGATTGCTGTTTGCAGAGGCTGATTAAATATAAATTAAACTCATCTGCATGTTCAGCGAGATATGTGAATCGAATAGCAAGAGCATCCTTCGCGTTGGCTGCGTGGGTGTTTGGGGACCTCATCCCATGTCTCCACACATGGGTGGCTCTGCACCTTCTGGACCAGCACCAGCAACCTTGGCATCTGCATGGTATTGAAATTAAAAGAAGCATGTTCACTTACATAGAGGCGATTTCAGATAGAGTACGAACAAGCAATTCATTAGCCTATGTTTATTTGTGGGGGAAGAATGCAGTTCCCTGAATTGCTACTGCCATATTACTGGTTACTGCTGCTCGTCTTCACTTCAGTTGACTTCTCTAAACACCTCTCCCTCTTGTGTGGCCAGGTAGAATAGAATAGAATAGAATAGAATAGAATAGAATAGAATACAATACAATACAATACAATACAATACAATAGAACAAGACTGTTTCAGTTGGAAGGGACTTACCATATCCAACTGCCTGACCACTTCAGAGCTGGACAAAAGTTAAAGCATGTAATTAAGGACATTGTCCAAATGCCTCCTGAACACTGACAGGCTTGGGGCACTGGCCACCTCTCTAGGAAGCCTGTTCCAGTGGTTGACCACCTTCTCGGTAAAGAAATGCTTCCTCAGGGTCCTGGCAACGCACGGAGTGCTCCTTGAGCCCTTGCCATTAAGTAACCAGAAAAACCATATATGATGAAGTGGCCACCCAGCATCCTGGATATGATTAAGAGATTTCTTAATCTTTTCCCCAAACGAATAATGGGGAGAGAGCCTTATCTCTAAATCTGCACCACCATCCAGCGACCCCAGAACTGGTGCCATCTCCAGCTTACGGCTTGTGACCGGGGAGTATGATGGACCCTCCTGGTCCAGGATAACTCTGAGCATCCTGCACATGGAAGGTGTTTGGAAAAAACTGTGGATTTCTCCTGTCTCCATCAAAATGTGTATGTTGACCCTGGGATGA